AGCAGGGAGCCCGATGCGGGACTCGATCCAGGGACTCCAGGATCATGACCTGAGCCGAAGGCAGTCGCTCAACTAACTGAGCCACCCAGGCGCCCTGGAAAGTCTATTCTTCAGCAGAACACAGGCCGGCTCCTAAGATTCTCTTAGCTCATTCTTGAAACACTGTCCAGAGCGCTTTCCTCCCACTGCTTTGACTGTCTGTGCCTTCTCTGGTTTTGCTAAAACTGTTTGGATCTCCTGCCCATACATGCTAATAAGCACCACAAAAGACAGAGTTCAAGGAAACAGCCTGCATTAGATAGATGCATTTGAGATGATCTTAGATTCATTTCTTTTTCTCAAGGCTTCTTGACATTTTAGGATTCATCTATCATTTCTCAGATCCTATCAACAAGGGCAGTGATACCGATGAGCATTTGAAAGAGATTTACAGTGTCCAAAGCAGCTTTCACACAATATCATACCCAGCTGGGACCCGTTAGTATCGCCGGCTTATTCTACAGCTGTGGAAAGGAAGGTGCTGGGCAAGAGCCCCTCTGTGGGAGAGCAGGGCCTCTGTCTAATGCTTTCGTCTGCACCGAAGCTGTCCACATACCCATCCCTCAATCAGCTGCTCCCTCCTCATTTGAGGAGCTAATGAAGAACCTCATGAATCAGAAGCTAAGAGGGTGGGGCCTGGGACTGCTCTGGTTAATAAGCATCCCCAGGGACATGGACAAGAAGCAGGACTTGAAACCACTGCTGAAAGGTAGGTCGTCCTAAAGGGCGGGCTTGCCTCTGATCAGCCCAGGCCTTGACAGCATCGCTGGGGTGTATCAGGGCTTGTCAGGACAGAAGACGGAGAAGCTCGTGACCCAGCTGCCCAGAGGACAAGCAGCTGTCCCTGCAGCCGCCCAGGAACCTCTGTCCCTCTGATACCAGGACCTTTAAGTGCCGGCCTTGAAGAAAGGACACTCACTTGGTCAGGACAATGGAGACTGCGTCGTTGAGAATACTCTCTCCAAAAACCAGCATGTTGAGCACCGGGTCCACGTGAAGCGCGTTGAAAATAGCAATAGTGGCCACCGGGTCGACAGCAGAAATCAGGGAGCCAAACGCAAAGCTGTAAGGAAGAGAAAAGGAAGGGGTCACTCTGCGATGCTTATCGCTTGGCCCACACAGTAAAACAGCAGAGCCAGAGACTGCTTGTGGTCTGACATGTTCGTACACGCTGGAACTGTGTGTATGTACAGACAGGAGACCATGTCTTTTCTCCTGCTTACAGTACGTGCTGTGGACCCTGTGGTTAGGCAGGGCAAGGCCCGCTCCACAGGCGGTTGTCGGGAATGGCCTAGTTTTCCACCGTGAGTCCCAACACTTTCTTTGACAATTGACGGAGGGGAGACTTTTGCTTAAAATACATGAGACATGCCAGCCTTGTTTGTCAGAGCAGCTGGAACTGTGATGGCTCAGCGGGGAGCTTCTCCCCTTGCCACAAGAGTGCCTCCTGCGACTGGCGGTGGCCTCCACTTAGATTTGCGACATCTCAGAAAGTGCCCACAGTCAGCAGCAACTCTGGTGTGCTTCAAGGGCGTGGGAGGTGTGGGTGCTGGACACCCACACCAGCGCTGCCCGCCCCCGGCCAGCAGCTTCCCCTAACAGTGCCCAGGAAGGCATCATTCCCTCCAAGAAAGAGGTATTAATTGCCCAAAATGTTTCAGGCACTGAGGCCAATAATGAGAGCCAACATTTATGTGGCACTTACCATGTCCCAGGCACGGTTCTGAGCACTTCACGTGTAGTAACTCATTACTCCACCCAGCACCCACATGGGCTGCTACTGTTACCACCCCGATCACATTAAGAGAAAACTGGGGGACAGTGGGGTTAAGTAACTTGTTGAAGGTCAGACAGCTAAGAAGTGGCAGAACCAGGATCCAAACACAGGCCATCTGGCTCAGAGTCAGTGCTCCTGCCCGGGTGGGGGTGGGCTCTGTCCACTGGACCATCGCCAGCACCCTGCACAATCATGTAAGTCCGGGCTCAGGGAGAGCAGAGCTAGTAGGAGGAGATGTCTGGCTGCCTTGCCCGCTACAGTTCGCCCTCTAAGTCAATAACCTGGCATTCTGGTCTCCAAGGCAGCTCCCTGTGTTTGATTAATGTGAACCCATACAAGACAGCCTGCTCGCCTCAAGGACAGCCTCTGGATCGCAAGCTGAGGAGCAGACCCCAAAAGACAGTCTCAGTTCAGAGCTCAGTTCCACACCCGCCCTGTCCTCACAGGATGTCACAGGTCACCTGCCTCTCGCCCTCACTGTGAGTGCCCAGGGAGTGGGCACTACGTTTTAGTCATGTGTATATTCCCGGGATCCGTCCTGAGCTTGGCCCAGAGGCATTTGTGGAAGGCAGGCAGGAGAGTGGGAGGAGGAGGAAGGCGAGGGAGAGGAGGAACGGTAACACCACCAAGGGACTGCCAACCTGGGGGGCCCTGTTTTGCTGGCAGCGGGCCTCGAGGCCCTCCTGCTGCACCCTGGACACAGAGCTTGTCTTTTCTCCTTGTCTTTAATTCCCACTCTCCTCAGCCCAGGGCAAAACACCAGGGGCCTCAAGGAAAAACAATGTCTAAAAAGCATTTTCTGAATGTCCAAAAAGAGAGAGGCGAGGGAGGAGGAACCGGGGAGCCCTTGGTGGCTTGTGTGTGGGGTGCTGACCTCGTGCGGCTCCATTCCCGAGGACAGGGCGGCAGAGCAGACAGCCACGGTTCTCTCTGCTCCGATTCCCACCCCTGGTTTTGGGAACAGCACCCCAGTTTTCCTTTGGGGAGCCACACCTCCCCTCCCCTCCCCTCCCCCTACAGAGTTGCATGGGGCTCTAGGAGTGGGCAGGAGACCCAACTTTGGTGAAAGAGGGCCCTCACCAGGCATTTCGCCAGGTCCTCGGGAATTCGATTGGCCCTTCTGGCAGAGATAGCTAACGTGAGGGTGCCGTGAGCCCAGAGCCATCGGTGCTGCCAATGTGGGGCAAGCGTGCCCGAGGATGAAGCCAGTCAGGAAGACTGCACGGAGATGCAACGAGAGGAGAGATTCCTGGGCAGCGTGGGCCCCGGGGGCTGTCATGCTGGGAGCCGTCATTCCGGAACGCTTCACTTCTGAGCCAACAACCTTTTTCCACCCCCCCGCAACCAAAACTACTTGTGTTGGGTTTCATTTGTGCCAGAATGGGCCTGACTGATGTTCTTTGTCACGGTCCCTGTAGCAACCTGAACTGAAACCAGAGCAGGAACTAGAAAGACAGACTGATGAAGGGACAGAGGGATGGATGAATGGAAAGATCTGGGTTAAAGCAAAAACTACAGGATAATGATGTACTGTATGTTGGCTAACTGAATTTAAATTAAAAAAAAAAAAGCCAATACAGTGAAACAGTAACCGTAGAACCCAGGTGGTGGTCATTTGGGTAGCCGCTGTATAAGCTTTGCCTTTTCTGTATGTTTGAAATTTTCATAATAAAAAGTTAGGGGGAAATGATTTGCACAAACCATAGAACACATTTAGCTTGGGTTGGGGATCTCTATTGGGGCAGAGCTTTCTTGGCAGGAAGCATGAAAAGTCTGACGGATGAACGACCCGACTCATCAAGGGCTCGGAGTCTCAGAGGTCACGTCCTCGCGCTGTCAGTGCTCCCCTTCCCACTTGCGTGGCTGGGTCTTTAAAGGGCCAGAGGCTAGAAGTTCACCTTAAAAATGTGTTTTCCTGATTTATTCTATCATCTCAAAAGATAGAACATCAACAAGTGAAAAGGAAGCAGACCCGCATGGGGAAATAACTCAGGTGAATCTACCAGTGACATCTCTCTCCAACAGAACCATGGCTACGATAAAATCTTCTGTGCAACAAAGTTATTTTTATGTTTTCTATTGTGCAGCGGTCTGTGGGTCTTATGTTTGGCGAAACTGCATGGCAAAAAACTGACTAACTTGTCAACATTTAAAAACTAGAAAATTCAAGGGCGCCTGGGTGGCTCAGTCGGTTAAGCGTCTGCCTTCAGGGTCCTGGGATCAAGCCCCATGTCGGGCTCCCTGCTCAGTGGGCAGTCTGCTTCTCCCTCTCCCTCTGCCCCCACCCCTGCTCATGCTCTCTCTCTGTCATGCTCTCTCTCAAATAAATAAAATCTTAAAAAAAACTAGAAAATTCACTATTAAAATCTAGAAACCTGGCCTCTTGCGAAAAAAAAAAAAGTTTTTTTAAGATTTTATTTATTCACTTGAGAGAGAGAGAGAGCACAGACGTGGGGAGAGGAGAGGGAGAGGGAGAAGCAGACTCCCCGCTGAGCAGGGAGCCTGATGCGGGGGGCTCAATCCCAGAACCTGGAGGATCCTGACCTGAGCCAAAAGCAGATGTTTAACCGACTGAGCCACCCAGGTGCCCCCCAATGTTCTTTTAATATTTAGTAATTCGGGGCCCATATTCCCCCAAGTGATTACTAGGTGGAGCTGAGAAGTCCCCTTCAGACAGGGTGCACTCTTCCGGTCACCACTGTGGTCACCCCGAGACGCAAAAGGCAGTGCCCTCTGGTAAGTGCTCGGCCAGGCTCTGTGGCTCTGTGTGTTTGCGACTGCTGGCTCATTTCCCCAGAGCACTCCCTCTGAGGGGGATGGTCCCTTTCTAATAGGAAAGGAAGTGTCTGCACACAGAGAGAGAAACCCTACCTGGCTCCTATCCTGCTTGTCTAAGGGACAATTCTTTTACTCCTCTCTCCCTGAACATCCCCATAAACACTGGTTCAATTCAATTCCACAAGAATTTATCCAGCATTTTCTGTATCTCTAACCAGTTGCCCCAAAACAGGTTGAAGGACTGAATGCTGTGACATCTTCCTTTACATGACTGGGTATGGGACGTTTCTTTTCACTTGCAAAATACCTACAAAATGCGGGGCCTGGGTTCTGCTTTATTTCCAGCTCCTTATGGAACAGGAATGTGACTTTCGCTACTTGTTTATATATCAGGACTACCTTACAACAAAAACTCCAAAATTTATGTTCCTGGTAGAAAGATGGGATTGGACTGGCGGGTAGCAGAGCACATTTCCCATGAAAAGGGCTTCAAGATTCTAGCCCCCAAGTTGCTGAAGGCTGAAAGCTCTGGCCGGCCTGATGGGAGAGACCCGGGGCCAAGAGCTCACCTTGCTTTCTAGCCCCCAGCCAGGCCACAGAAGCAAGCGCCGATGGTGCAGAAACACAGACCAAGGCTGCACACGCTCTGGACTTCTCAGAGAGGGGCAACCAGGCTGCACTCTGCTTGTGCACTTGTTTAGCACTAGATCTGGTACTATCCAGGAGACTGCGGCCTGGGTTGCTGGCCTGGGCTCTGAGAGAGCAGCTCGGAGTGATCACTCGAGTAGCTTCAGACTGAGCAAGATATCCACAGTAGAGCCCTTGGCCCTGCCTGCTTCCCCCACCCTACCCCACACCTGGCTTCAGGGGAAGCCCAGAGCAAAGATTCTGTACGCCTCACTTCCCACTCCATCCCTAATCTATCAAGAGGACAACTTTTCATTGTGGCCACTGAAAAGACTCAGAAATTAGCTGAAGATGATTCTGGATAATAAAAGATGCAGTGTGTGGTTAACGGACCAGAGTCATTCTCTCCAAAGCTTAAACTAAATCAGTTCTTTCAATCAGCAATGCTCTGACTAGAGATCGTCGAAATTCCACAATATAGTTTTGATTCATTTCAGAACCACAGGTTAATTCAGCAGAAATCATCAGCAGAACAAAAAGAGAGACAGAATAGAGAAATACCGCACCCAGGAATCAATGTGGAGAAAACTATCCCCAGTCTGAAAAGTAGTCACACGGGTGTGACAGTATTAAAGATTTACCTGTCTGTCATGTTGAGTTTAGAGATTACATCAGCCTGTAAAATAAAACACACAAACACACAGACACAAAAAAACCCCCTGGAGAACAGCCAAGAAGATTAAAATGTCCATTAGTGTTTTATTAGTAACTAATAAGGACATTAATCTTCAGTCCCCAAACCACTTGAAAAATAAAGAAAACTCCTAAGTTTCAGTTTAAGCATGCATTCAATCATTATACAACAAAAGTATGGAACAGAACGGTACATTTTTCAAGCCAAATTAGGTATGGTTTTCTTAAGTTCATTCCCATTTGATGCTAGAAGCTGTGCAATGAAGAAGGGTGCACGACAGACAGATTTACCCTGGTGCCACTGAGCTGGCAGTCCAAGTGACAATCAAATGCAGTGGGCTTTGGCCGACAGCTGCCCATAGAAGCAAACACGTCTGACACACACACGAGAAGCCTGCCAGTCACCCAGGGGCCTGAATCTCAAACTTAGTTTACAGAACCGGGACAAGTGCCCATAAAGGAAAAGAACTATGACATGCACAGACATGCAGAATGCAAAACTATAGATATTACCTTTCTGGGTAGATTTGGTTTAAATTAATTCAAATTAATTCGAACTCAAAGTACAGAACACTGGGAACTGGTTTAGCAATGGTGGAAAATCCAAAGTATATAAATCTATGGGTGGACAGCTTAGAATTGAGTGAACATATGCAGAATCAAGTTTGATTTTTACTAAGAAACAGTGGTTAATCCTGATTCAGTCTACTTGATAACACAACTGATACTGTTTTAATCTGAAGACCTTGGGGGTATATACCCTGCTTTATTTTTAGTATTCTGTCTTAAGAAATTATTGGTTTGCAAATAAGATCAAAAACTTTTGGGGATTATGGAGAAGATTCACTCAATTCCAGACACCAACGTTCTTCGAGGACACTTAGAAACAATTTCAACATGCCTTTACGGTTCCTCGTAGGAGTTTGGATTTCCTTCCAGGACAGCATTTACCTTGAATGTGAAACCCAGGCCCCACGAAGTGTCCCTACCCCACCTCCCTGCACTAGCTCTAAGGATGTAAGATTTTCAGAATTTTTCAAAGATGTTTTTCTTACCTGACCGAGAAAATAAATTCCTCCACCTACTACAAAAGCGGAAATTGCCGTACCGAAGACAGCAAACAGAGTGATGGAACCAATATTTTGAAAGAAGTTACCCTGTTGGAAAGAGCAGAAATAAGAGAACTGCTTAGGGAAGTTGGTCCAATCAGTGAAGGCACGCACCCCCCACCTGGCCCTCTGCACACACTGGATTCTCTGCAAAAGACCACCCACCTGGTTTGTGCTGTCTTCACCATGACCCCCCTACTTCCACTCGGAACGCAGATAAAACCCAACCAAAGACTGGATGGTTGGACCCCTGTGAAGGCCTCTAACCTCCCCTTTGTTCTCTGGGTTCTAGTCACACTGGTAGCTTTTGGTTCTTTGAACATTTCATACTCCCTGGGCTTGGACCACTCTTTCTTCCTCCTTGCTTGGTGAACTTGAATCATCCTAAGATCTTAGGCGGTTTGGCTCTTCCTGAGGGAAGCCTGCTCTCATCCCTTAGCCAGGTCAGACCCTATTCTATGCTCTCAATGCACAATAACCCTCTCCTTGTAGAACATGACAGGGCCGAAATCTTACATTCATTTATATAACTATTTGATGTCTGTCTTTCCCACTAAGCTATATGCTCAATGGTGGGGATGGGGAACACAAGGACAGGGACATACACACACACAATGACCTCGTCTGCTTTTATATAACACAGTTACTGGTGTAATGCCCATCAGATGGAAGATGCCCTATGAATAGGTACTGAAGGAATTAATCGTGTTTCAGGTCTGATCAAAGTCCAAAGCTTATACAATTGTAATTTTTTATTTAATTAAAAAAAGGTACATAATTTCTTTTAAAGACTTTATGCAATCTCTATACCCAATGTGGGGCTCGAACTCACAACCCTGAGATCAAGAGTCACATGCTGCACTGACTGAGCCAGCCGGGTGCCCCAGAAAAGGTGCATTATCATAAAGAAGGTCAAGATAATAGGTTATATAATCAGAAAATCCTGTTTGCTCACTTCAAAAGCCTGTCCTCAGCTCAACACTGGCAGCCCCACCAAGCCCATCTCCTTCAGGGGGCTGCTTTGCTTCATTCATTGCAATCTGATCTGGCTGCCCATAATCTGACATTCAATTACTTTGGTATATCAATCTTCCACACACAAAGAACTTTAAAAGAACTCAGGGCAAACATAATGATTTGGTTTTTTTCTAAACTAAAGGCTTTCATCTATGAGCTTTTCTTTGCCAGGAGCTGATTTATTTTGTTGTTAAAACAGATTAAATTAGGGGCGCCTGGGTGCCTCTGTCGTTAAGCATCTGCCTTCGCTCAGGTCATGATCCCAGGGTGCTGGGATCGAGCCCCACGTCGGGCTCCCTGTTCAGCGGGAAGCCTGCTTCTCCTTCTCCCATTCCCCCTGCTTGTGTTCCCTCTCTCGCTGTGTCTCTCTCTGTCAAATGAATAAATAAAATCTTAAAAAAAAAATTAAATTAAGTCTTGATCTGTTTATAGGAATCTAATGCTGATATAATTTATGGAGTTGGTTAATATTAATCTGGATGTTGGGCGCCTGGGTGGCTCAGTTGGTTAAGCGACTGCCTTCGGCTCAGGTCATGATCCT